AGGTTGGCAGTGAATGCCTAGCATCAGGCACGCCACTCCTTCCGACAGCGGGCAGTGCCATGCTCTGGCTGGCCCTGCCAAGACGGTGTGTGCAGCTCCGTCAGGGCTGCGAGTCGGGCAGTGAGGGAATGTCCTGTTTAACCACCCCTGCGGCGGAGACGTAACTCCTGCAGCAGCAACGCCTTCGCTCCTCCAGGCCCCGAGAACCCGGCCGGGCAGGTGTTCAGAGCACTGTGCACCAGCCAGTGATGCAAACGGGAGTTCAGAATCTCGGGCAAGTGCTGCTGCTCTGACAGCAGAGGATGGGACAAAGCGTAGCAATAAATGCTCTCTCTGGGCTGCATTTACCCCGGGAGCAGGAGGAGGCACTGGTGTCGATCAGGCTAGGGCGCAGGTGTGGGTACACTGAGCACCGTCTCCTGCAGGAGAGCGAGGTGGTCCCTCGCAGCGGCAGAGCACGCCTGCGAGCCCGTGCGCTCCTGTGCACAGCACTTACCGATCATCCCCATGTAGGCCTGCAGGCACGCGGCGCGGCTGTGCTGAGAGCAACCGTCCGGGGACGTGTCTGCAGGTTGGCAGTTCTGTTGGAAGTCAGCCAGCCGGGATCTGCGGGAAGGAAAATGAGGCATCAGTGTCCATGCTGCTCTCTCGGCTACTCTCCGCTGCTGCCGGACCTACTTGCAGATGTGGTCTTCCAAGCAGGAGTCCAGCAGCCAGAGGCAGTTGGGTTTGGTGTTATACTGGAAGGAGCAGTTTGGAACAATAGTTTTCCGGCGTCGTTCTCCACAAAGTTCATCTTGACACGGACAGAACAGGATCCTTTTGGTGAAATCCTCAGGGACTTTCTCAAAGAAATTCCTCAACCCTCGGTGGCATTTGCGACGGTCACAGATGTCCTCGCTTCCAGCTCCCCTGGTGCAGATCGAGGCATAGTCTGTGCGCAGACGGACGCACTTCTTGCTCAGGTTGCAGACGTGCGTTGCTTTCAGGCATGGGTTTGTCGTGCCTCCGGCTAGCTGTGAGCCTGTGGAGCCAAAAGAAACCCAGAAACAGAGAAGCCAGTCTCCAGAAGAGATTCTGCGTGGGAACAGGTGTCGCTGTTACTTGATGGTCAGGTTGGGAACATCAAAAATAACAGTTAGTCCTGCTGTGTGCCCGTAGTACGCTACTGCAGGTACAGGAGGGACAAAATCCTATTTGGACTGGTTCCTGTTAGGGAGCTGTTTCAGAGCGCGCACCTCTGGGATATTCCCTGTCTCGTGGCCTAGATCCGTGCCTATGTTTACACGTGGTAGGGGGACAAATTTAAGCAAGTATCTAGAGCAGGCATTCTTCTGATTAAAGGGGCCGTTACCCTGAATTGTTCTTAGTAATGTCCAGCCCCTGTAACGGTAAGAAAGGGCAGCATCATGTCACGTGACCATTACAACCCTTACCCGACACCAGAGCTGCCAGTTTGTTATAATCCGTCTTCCAGTGTTCTTCGTCTGCTGGGTTCTCGTAGGGAGAGGTCTCCAAATTGAAATAACCTGGGGAAGATACAAGACATTTTATGCACTGGGAGAAATGCTTTGTGACCAGCTGCTTTTTTTTTTCCGAGTTTTTTCTTATTTGTGCCTGGCTGTTTCCCCAGGCTGGAGTTCAGAGATGATCTGCCCTGCTCAAAGCCAGATGCCAGCAATGTCCCGCTGGTGAAGCCAAGGTGTTTCTGTGTAGAAACGGCACCGCATGGTGCCATCAGACTGCCTCTCACTGGAGTCTGGTCGGTGCTGTCGTGTGGGTTTTGCAGCCCCGGCACTCCCGAGATGTGCGGCACAGGCGGTCTTTAGAGGGAGGCCAGGCCAAAGCATGGCGCTAAGGCTGGAAGGCAGCAGCACGCTGAAGGATGCGCCAGAACCACCCGTCCGTCTGCAGGGATGGACCGACGTGAGCACTTT